CTATAGGAGGATTTAAAAAACAACAAATGACATCAAACAGCCATCTTCCAACCTGTTCTGCCTCTAGAAATAAGTTACTTTTTCCCCTCTCTCCTTTCCTCCTGCTTCGCAGCAGGAGCTTTCATGTCCGCAGCTGATCCAGCACATGATTATACTGGTGTGACTGTCCAACATAAAGTCTCTCAAACTGATGGTTCAATCCTTTTATTTAACARCCTTGCACATGAGCACACCGTAAGAGCTACAAAATACACAAAATAAAAATACCATCAGTAACTCAAACACTATGTTGTCTTTAACCATTTTACCTTATTAATTTACTACAAATGAATTATTTACTTTAAACTATTACCTTTATACTTGATAATCTTTACCTTGAGTGCCATTACCATGACTATAACGTATATTATTCAATCTTTTAACATTGCCTTCTCTATTTCCCTGTACCATGAAATAAAACACATATAGTTCAACTGTTTAACTGGWCATAGAATAAAATAATAAACCTTGTATGCCTGACCAAACATGACTAACTTAAAGAACACTAGCACCCTCTAGTGGGTGAAAAATARCTGCAACATTTGATAAAATAGACATTAAAACCTTCATACCAACCTTGTTCCCTCATCAACCAGGTGCCAACWGTTGTCTGCTTTGAACACCTTAACTATATTCTTTTACAGTTTTAACTGTGGAGCACATTTGTTTCTTGTACAGTGACCACACTGCTGCTGTACAGTTTTTTTTTTCAACGTTGTTTTTAAGCCTTTTCAAAAATAAAAGTACTTTTCAAAATAAACGCATTAACAGCACAGCAGAATAATAAACACTTATGAACCAATTAACACAACAAAAATATTAAGGTTATTTACATCTCATGCTTCATTTTTGAAGTAAAAAAGATTGATTTAAGAMTAAAAAAATCAGATGAACTTTAACATAGAACTGATTAACTGATTATAACCAGAATGTTTATTCAGCTACTGTTTAGAATAAAACAAATAAAACATGAAGTTTTTATTAATAGATGTGTTCATCACTGACCCTCTGAACCTCTGTTTTCACAGGTCTGAAAACTCACGACKGGAAGACGCCTGTCCTCAGGAACAAACCTAAAGCTTTATCTCTGCRCACTTTATACTGAAACAAGCATTTCTTCCTTTCCTGCTCTGTTCTTCTCTAGCCGACTCTAAAGGTTTTTGCACACAGACAAGTTAAAAAAGAAAAAGTCTGGTTTTTTTCACTCATAGATGAGTTTCAGAGGAGGTCCGGTGGGTTTTAGTTCTGACATCTGATTGGTTGTGCTGTAGTAAAACTATTAACTGTAAGGATTACTGACAGGATCTCTGCTGGGGCAGAAGTAGTTGGGCAGCTGTCTCAGGAAGTTGCAGGTTCAGTTTTCGGCCATGCTCACGTGAGAAGTCAAATTCAGCACAAATGTGAGCCGTCATATCGAAATGAGGATGAAGTCAAATTTGGAAACAGGGAAAATCTCATAATTTTAATGCATTTTTCCACAAAATCAGTTTTTGTTGTTGCTACTTCACAAATAAGTACTTCAAAACTTTAGTTTTATGATTATATTTCAGACGGTTCATTCAAAAGATACATTGAAAAGGCTTTTATACATTATGTTTTGACTAAATTTCTCCTCATCCCACTTAGCCTTAACCTTTATTTTGATGTGAGGGGTCACCATGTCCCCCTCCTTCAGGCTCATGAAATGTTTGATCCGTTTTACTTGATAACTGTCAGGAAACCTTCTGACATGGTGCTGTAATCAAAGGAAGAAAACGAGAGGAAAACACAAAAAAGGGATTAAAAAAATAAACAAATCATGTTTATTTTTTGTGCCACATTTTTAACTCACTGTGCCAAATCCTTTTAAAACGAAAAGAATATTTGAGACAGTTTTTAAAATGTATTTTTTATTGCACATTAAGGACTTTTAAACTGTATTTATCCGTTTCTGCTGTTTTTAGAGTTTTGTATAAAACTACAGTAGTAGTTATTTTTCTACATTATTATATTTTGTTATTGTTAAAGCTGTCACTGGTTTGACTCTCTTTTGGAAACTTTCAATGTGCTCACTGTGCACATGTGGGTTTTCTCCTGCAGACCAAAAACATCATGTATTATATTTGAATGTCCAATAAATATTTTCAAAATCAAAAAATGCTTCTTTATTTCTGACACATTTTTAAGCTCAGTTAAAGACTTGGTGAATAAAATGAATTTAGTGCAGATAAGAAAACAAAACACAGCTCCAGAAAGCAGGTTTATTACAGATCTTATCTATAACTGATCTTTTTATTCTGCTTGTCTAAAAATTATAAAAAGTAATTATTTCAATGTTCAGAATTCAGATAAATATCAGGAATGCATTTTGTTTTAGTAGGAATTTATTTAAATGTTAAAATGAGGACATTAAATAACGTAATGAAACCAAGACGCCTCAAATCCAAAGTTTCAACAGGTTTGAGTTGAACAGCAGTCAGATTTGTCTTTGATCAGTTCAATGTGACAAACGATTAATTTAAAACTTTTTTGTACTTTTTTTATTTAGCTGTGTTCATTTCCACAAACTGATCAACTGATGCATTTGAACAGGTTTGATACACAAACAGGAGGTTTAATAGTAAAAATATATATA